CCCCAAAACCCCAAAACCCCAAAACCCCAAAACCCCAAAAGAGGTGAGATGAATTGAAATATTAAAAAAGAAATTATAAGGCAAGTGTATGATATAGATCAGTTATCTTCTCCATATTTTTGCTTCATTTTCTCACCCAATCCTGCATATTTTCTTAATAAAATACCCTGCCTAGTTTTGGAGTAATTTATTTGAGCCATTAAACACCTAATTTGAGTAGTTGTCTGTGGAGAGACTACAGGCTAAAATATCTTCGAAGACTCCCAAATCGCAACAGTCTATTAAAACTTAAAGGCACGATATTTACCTTCACTTGCTCCTGAAGAAATTAGCAGGATATTTCAACAAGTTATGCAACTTATCCTCTTCATTAAGGCCTACTACTTTTTAGTAAGTTTTCTTCGCAGAAAGAGCCATAGGGGATATTTTTAGTGATTATGTTCAGATTAGAAACAAATTATGACTGAAATGTTAACCCCTTTCCTATAGAATCCCAGTTTACACTTGAGAAAGATGGACAAGAAAAAGAGAGGTTATGACTATATATCAGAAGAAAAGCGAATCGCTATTATTCAGGCAGCTCAAAGCAGGCATGAGTCTATTAAGGCCTGAGCTTCCCGCCTTGGAGTAAAGTACATCACTGCTAAGCAGATTGTCAAGAGATGGAGAGAGAAGGGAATTGTGATGACCAAAGGATGAAAGAAGGATGACAACAGTGAAAAAGGTAGGTCTATACAAATTCCTCCATTTTTAAAGTTTGTGATGAGATGAAGAGTTTTGATACATTATAAGCAAATTAATGAGTATGGAAGCTTAGATATGTTGTTTAAGGTTTAGAAGAAAGTCCTACTGCAAAAGAGGAAGCCAAGGAGGAACAGAAATTAGAACAAATTTGAATGAATCAAGAAGTTGTTCATCCAATTATTGAACCTACAATGGTAAACCACTTACCTTATCAAACCGTCATGATGAACTCTCCTTTTGTCGGATATGGAGGATTTCCACAAGCTCAGCTAGTCCCTTTTAATCAGTTTCAAGGTTACAATCAGATGCAGGGTCCTCAGTTCAACGATATGGGTGCAACCCAAAATATGCTCATTCCATGTTCTATAGTTCCTGTTGCAGTCCCTGGGTACGTATACTTTCCTCCTCAAGCTCCACTAAACCAAGTATCCTCAACCCTCAATAACCCAAACTCTCCGCCACAGAGTATGCCTACTCCGCCTGAACACAAAGAGGGCAAAGAAGAGGATCCGAAAAGAACTTAAACTAGTTTTTAAATTATTACTACCAACAGTATTCATTTTTATTTCTAACGAGGCTATTGCAAGCAGGTTTAGCTTAAACCCCACAAATTTGTTGCCTAAAACCCTGTATCTTATAATCTATTTCTACTAAGTTCGGACCATTCTGATCCTTTATAATATCTCCTATATCGAGAGGGGTGGCCAAGGTTCTAAATGGCACTTTCTAAAAGTACTTCATCATCACCGAATTTTGCTTCAGTGATAAAGGAGCCTGTACAGTATTCCTAAAGCTTGCTAGTGAATTTGAATTTTTGGATAAGTCTTAATGAAGCTCTTCTAGATGGAGGAATAGGAAAGAGCAAGATTAGAAAACTAAGAGTCTTACTCAATATTTCATCCTTTTATTTGATAAAACGAATTTGAATTTTAGCATAAATCATTTCAAAATATTCTATTTAAGGTTTATTTTAGCTAAAATAGGTTTGAGACCCCCTTCAGAGCTTTAAAAGAAAGTTCAGCCATGTAATAAAGTCAACTCTTTTTAACTCACGTTAGCATTTGAATAGTCTTAAGATAGATGATGGCTGAAAACACCTTTTGAAGACTTTCACAAGTGATAAAACTGTCGAAAGTTTATTAGACAATATTCACTTGATCTTTCAGTAAGAACTCGTGGGTAAACAGTTAGTAATCATCGCTTTCAAGAAGGCCATTTAGGTCAAGCCCTTTGCCATTTTTGTGTAAGCGAATTAATTTATTTATAAATTTGATATATTTCTAGATTTTTCACTTGGCTTAGAAAAGGGCATGTTATTTTTACACAAATTCAGAGGAAACAAATTGCTTATTGGTCACTGAGAATTCGTTTCTATAATTATTCAGACTCTTTCTTCTTGAGTCTCTAAGCCTCAGGTATATTTTTGGGCACAGAAAACTGTTGCTTAAATCCTTTATAAAATTATTGTCCAATTGGAACCCTATCAATTTTGCATGAGAAAGAAAAGTAATTAAAAATATACACTCTGGAAGCTTTGTTCAATTTTTAAGTTGATTCTAAGGCCCCTACCAACTTTCCCAATCATATACGAAAGGAACGAGTAACTAAAATATTTCAGGAAGCCTATGAAAACTTTGCTATCATGGTAAACCTAATAAAAATAACTCTATTCATTCTGATACATAATTGATAAGCGCCCATGAAGCTTCTGTCCCTTCTATGATTCATTTGGGATATTTTCCTTCTATCATGGTGATGCCAATCAACTGATCTCCTTGCGGATACATCAATCGCCAACTGAGTAGTTGGTTATTAAATTTAGCATTACTATTATTTTCTAAACCACCTCAATCCGCGCTAACTAATTAGGGGTTTTGGGGTTTTGGGGTTTTGGGGTTTTGGGG